TGTTCCCTCTGAAGTCAATTGGCTTTTCTTAAGCCCCCAATGAAGGAGTTTTTCTCAGCTCTGGCTCTGCATCATCCAGCTGATGTTGGCTTCATATTTGCGGCAAGTTTGTGATGAAGGGATCACCGCCTCACCGTGGTCACTGGGGTCTGAAACCCCCTGTGCGTGGCATGGCAAGCAGTCCGGAGGAAGAGCCCCTGGTTTTCTGTTCCAGCATCGAATAGTGCAGAAGCATTTGTCTTTGTCCCCAGAGCACGTCATTTATTGTAAGTGAGAAATGGAGCTATTGCCATGAAAATTGCATTTGTGATGAATGGATAGACACTCTACTATTCTGCAGCATGTAATGGAAGCAGCCAAGGTGTTTTCTCTGACCTTTGAGTTTTCCCTGAACATCGCAGCTGAGAGCGGCCCAGACCCAGCCACCTGCCAGCTTTCTCAAGCAGCTGATGCAATCGTGGTGGTGTGATGAGCCACGCCGTGCAGAGGAGGGGAACATCCATCCACATTTCTCCATGCCTGGCAGCCGGCTTCGATAGCACTGTCTTCTCCTTCAGCGTGGTGTGGTGCAATTGCATCTCATGGGCAGGAGAGAGCCAGTCATTACCGACGGAGAAGTGAAAGTCCCAGCAGCCCCCATTCAGCTGCTGTTGGTAGCTGGAAGCTGCTCTGCTTCTCTGTTGACCATAGCCGTGGTAGGAACTGTCTAGACGCGTCCTCTTTGCTGGGATTTCCCCAATGTAGTCACCCCGATGGCTGTATGTCCACGGCAAGTCCCCGTGCGGTGCAGGCATCTCCACCAGCTCAGGGACTTCCGTGTGATGCTGGGGACCATGGCACCACCATATGACCTTCTGCTGGCCCATGGCTGTGCCCTAACGCTGGTGTTACCAAGACCCCAGTCTCTATTTTTTGGGATGTTTTATTCACACTTGCTAGTTCGCTTCTCAGTGCACTCCTGAACAGGTGGTAAACTTCTAGAGATGTTTTGTAGAAAGACAAACTGTGCTACGAAATTCAAGTGACCTGCTACGCGGGGTGGAGGTGGGACTGGTGCCTGGGAAGGCCTGACCCAGGCTCACCGTTGGGCTAACCCACCCAAGAGGAGGGCTGTAAGCTATATATTTGTCCTTCTGAAAAGAAAATTCCCAGTTTCGAGGACAAGGGGAGGAGCAGAGTCAGAAGCCAATGGCTCATGTGAGAGGATGGGACTGGGACCCTGCCAGGTCTGAAGTTGGCAAGGTGGATAATGCTCCCTCTTCTTGGGCAAAGATGAACTCTGGCTGTGGGTGCTTGAGATGCGGAAAGCATCCTGGCCCCTGAATTAGCATTCTGCTTTTTTTTGTTTGTTTGTTTTTGGTTTGTCTGAATGGTTTTCTTTCTTCTTTGATAGCGCTCATCCCAGTGTAAATGGTGGTCACATTGTTAGGTAAAGAGGCTGGAGGAGATCTAGGGTCAGGAGAGGCTGAAACAGGAGGCAGGTGCAGATGCTTGTCTGTATAGAACAACATCCTATCATGAGACTTGGCCTGTCCATCTTGCTTCTGGGATGAAACCATTCTCCCCTTGAACTCGGCTGAATTTTGCAGAAGAACAGAGCATTCTTCCAGGCTGGCAGAAAGCACTCATTGACGCCCGAGCAAAGTCGCTGATATCTCATCACCAGGCAGGTTTGTGGGCTGGGAATCAGGTTTTTTAGCTAATGGCCTCAATCAGGAATTTTTTCTGACCAGGTGAACTGCTTTATGGCTTGAAAGCCAATTCTCAGGTGTTTGCTCACTCAGCTGTGTTTTCCAGGCAAAAGAACCCAAAGCAATTATGAAGATCGAACATCTAAATGCGACTTTCCAACCTGCAAAAATCGGGAACCCACACGGACTGCAGATCACGTACTTGAAGGACAATAGCACAAGGAACATCTTTGTCTATCATGAAGATGGCAAGGTGAGAGTGTGGAGGTAACAAGAAGGGTTGGGTTGTGGTCCTGGGGGGCGATGGTGCTCAGAACCAGCCCGTGGCACACCAGGCTCTAACCGAGCTGGGAATTGTTGGGGTGTGTAGAAGGGATGGGGGTACAGGATGCGCAACCAGCTTTGAGTGCGTTTGTCGTGTCCTTCCAAGCGCAAAGGTTGCCAGCCGCGTCTTCTAAATAACGAGATGCAAATGGAAGGAATTGCTGTTCCTCTGCTTGCAACTAGACGTAGAGGCAGAGGCAATTTTAAGGCAGGGTCCTCGGCACCTGGAGACGGAGACGAATGGAGCAGTGAAAAGTGAGGGGACTCCATCTAAGGACTCGCAAAAGGGGAGTGAACTGGATTGTAGAAGAACTGAGGAAGCGGTGGTTTCTCTGCCTGTCTTGTACTTTCTAAAATGCAAATCTGCGTGTTTGTATTGAAATAAATCCCCTTGCTCGATGCCCTCGTGCCTCTGAAGGGAGGCGTGAAGAAGAGGGCTCGTGGGCCTGGGGCGGTCGTTTGCTCGAGGACAGCGGGATGCGGAGGCTGGGCAGTGAGGGGTCTGTCAGAGAGGCTTTTGGGGGGTGATCCCTCGCGGACCGGCACAGCAGGGATTTGCAGGATTTTCTTGGTGCACAGCCCGTTCCCATCTGTTCCTCCGGGCACGGCGAACCAGGCAGCTCTGCTAGGGATGAGCAGTCTGTGCTCATGGCAGTCGCTCCTTTCCAGACCGT